GTCAGCATATCGCCTCCACAGTCTGGGTCCTCATTTCACCCACCTCGGAAGGATGGAAGGCTGAGTCAACCCTGAGCCGGTGAGATTTGAACCGCTGAACTCCAGATAACAGTCAACTGAAGTGGCTGCAGTACAGCACTCTAACCACTGCGGCACTTCGGCTCATATATACTAAAAGTAGACTTTAAAAGTAGACCACCATCCCCGCAGCCCTTAAATGCTGAGGTAAAAAAACTCAACAACTGAAGTAGTGATGCCCAACCTTGGCAACTTTAAGAAGTGGGTACTTCAACTCCCAGAATTCCCCAGCCAGCATGGCTGGCTGGGGGATTCTGAGAGTCCAAGTCCATAAGTCTCAAAGTTGACAAGGTTAGATATCCCTACTTTAGTTGTTGAGGTTTTTTTACCTCAGCATTTAAGGGCTGCGGGGATGGTGGTGGATGACACGATGATATCATCTGAAAAAGGAGAGTTGGATTATTTGGCCTTTTTTGTTCCTTTTTTGAGGCACAGAGTTGCAAGTAATACAAGTATTACTTATATCCTATAAGTAGCATCAGAAGCATCTAGAAGCTGGTAATAAACAGTGATTGGAGGACCACAGGTGGTTCATCCTTGATGTACGATTTAGCATTGTATCTGAACTTTGCCCTTATGGCTTGATCACCAAGTTTAGCATGTTATATGCAGGGGTGGGATTCTACCGTCCGACTATCAGCATGGAGCGAACCAGTTCGCTCCGACTTTCAGCTGGGCCTGCCTGCCCGCCCCTGCACTATACTCACTTATGTTCCTGTTTCTGAAGCTCAGCTGATTGGTGCGGCAGAGTGGATTGCTGCACCTCAGCTGTTTTCCTCCCCAGCAGCAATGTGGAAGGTGATTTCTCAATAAACTGTGCACGCAGCGAACCGGTTGTTAAACTGGTAGGATCCCACCACTGGTTATATGGATAAATGATTAGTTTTGTGGAGTTCTTGATGCTGTTGAAGCTGGGTTGTTTTACTTACAGACGTTTTAATATCCATCTAGATAACATCATCAGTATGATGGATTGTGAAATTTTCTGCCTCTTTATATATTGTAGCTTTCCCTGCAGTTTTGTTGGGGTGTGGTTTCCTCCTTGGTGGTTCCTTGATTATTATTTTCTATCTGAATGTTTGTCTTGGGTTAACCACTGCTTAACTGAAGTGTTGGCCACTGGAAAGGATGGTTTCCTCCTTGGTGGTTCCTTGATTAGAGTATCGTCATCTGCCCTATTGTTTGTCTGGTGTTAATCCCCGCTTATCTGAACGTTGACTGTTGGAGGAGATGTGATCTTTTTATTTCCTTCCTAGACTTAGTATCTCTTTTGAATGGTGTGTAAGCGTGGTGTACCTCTATTAGATTAAAGATTGGAACATCAGACAATCAGGCAGAAAACAATACTCTAAACAAGGCAGCAGCAAGGAGGAAACCACACCCCACCACAACTGGCAGAGCAAGCAACTACAGTGATAGTAAAAAATGTTTGTGAAATTGTTTGAATTTTCAATATTTCTGCATAAATATTAACTAAAATGTGTTCTGTTTTCTACCCAAGTCCTAACAACTAGATAAAAGAACCCAATTAAATAAATGTTAGAAACATTATACTTGCTCATTTATTGAGGAAAATTATCCAACTACATATATAAAGAAACAGCAATTCCCACTCTCACTCACACTGATGATGATAATGATGATATTAGCTTGTTGGGTAATAAAATGTCTGTAGCAGTAACAATAACACTTAGACTTATATACACTTCACAATGCTTTACAACCCTCTCTAAGCGGTTTACAGAATCAGCCTATTGCCCCCAACAATCTGGGTCCTCGTTTTACTCACCTCGGAAGGATGGAAGGATGAGTCAACCTTGAGCCTGGTGAGATTTGAACTGCCAAATTGCAGGCAGCTGGCAATCTGCAAAAGTTGCCTGCAGTACTGCATTCTAACCACTGCACTCTAACCACTGTAAGCAAACAACCACAGAAAACAACAAGAACTCCACAGCTCAATCCCAAACTACAAATATTCTACCGGAATGACTAATTCATTGTTTCTCTCTCTCTCCCCACCTCCCTCCCTCCCTCCCTCCCTCTCTCTCTCTCTCTCCCTCTCCCTCTTCCTCTCCAGAATGCAAAGATGTCAACAAGGTTGCCTATTGCCCTTTGGTGCTGAAAGCTAAGTTCTGTAGTCGTTCATACTTCCGACAGATGTGTTGCAAAACCTGCCAGGGCCATTAAACGAATACATGTCCATTTGGAACTGCAGGAAAACTGAAAAGGCCCAGGAGGGGAGGAGACAGCTGCACCATTTCCCCATCTCCACCTGCTCTTTCCCCCAAGATCGTCAGTGAAGAAGCCAGCACCATAGGATTTGGTGCTCCCAGAAACCAAAGAAAATCTCTATCTTCCCCATTGGTTAAGGATCGTTATTAAACCACTGCTGAAATGCGCACTGAGGCAGACAGTGGCATATCAGGCTAGGAAGTACTACACGGAGGCAGGAGGGAGACCAAATGGATGGGAAAGCACATTTAAGCGCATTACTTGAAATGCTAAATGTTTGTATTTATTTTATTACACAGCTGGGTACCATGATTGCTGGCCAACTGCACTGTCATGACGATAACCCCCCACTGCCCAACAGGGAAGGAGATTCAAGGCACCAGCGCCACCTACATGTTTTAAACCTTGCCCCCAAAAGCAGTGCTTGAAATTACGCGGTGGCTCAGTGGCTAAAACGCGGAGCTTGTTGATCAGAAAGGCCGTCAGTTTGTCAGAATCCCTAGCGCCGTGTAACGGAGTGAGCTCCCGTTACTTGTCCCAGCTTCTGCCAACCTAGCAGTTCGAAAGCATGTAAAAATGCAAGTAGAAAAATAGGAACCACCTTTGGTGGGAAGGTAACAGTGTTCCGTGCACCTTCGGCGTTTAGTCATGCTGGCCACATGACCACAGAGTCATCTTTGGACAGCGCTGGTTCTTTGGCTTTAAAATGGAGATGAGCACCGCCCCCTAGAGTCGGGAAAGACTAGCACATATGTGCACGGGGAACTTTTATCTTTAGTGCCGCCTTACAGGCAGGCCTTTGGCAGGGTTACAGAATAGGGTAGATAAAAGAACCAAAGAGAGAAGTGGATGGAATCACATGAAAGAGCAAATTGATAGAGCAAATGATAGAGCAAATTGTTCCTCTACCTTGGGAACTTTAAGATGCATGGACTTCATCTCCCAGAATTCTCCAGCCAGCATGCAATCCCAGTATTTGAGCTGGCTGGCATGGCTGTCTGAAGAATTATGGGAGTTGAAGTCGACACACTTTGGATTCCCCCAAAATCCTGTAGAACAGAAATCATTGGGTTTTTTTTCTTGTACTTAACACAAGAAATTCCATAAAACTCACTTGGTTTGTGAGTTTGTTCTTGTTTTAGCTTTCTAAAAGAAGGGAAAAGACAAATGAATGACCTCCAAGGTCCCTTCCGACTCTGTTATTCTGTATTCTGAATTTCCTTACAGGCATTGGATCGTGCATGAGGAATTTTAGTAGTTTTCTTTCAAATATAAGAAGTTCAGTCACAATCTTTTATTATCACAAAGCGAATGTTAGCAGCCAAAAATACATATATGGGGAAAGGAAGATCCTATCTGTTTTTTAATTTGTTTGCTGATACCTTGAATCTGTGCCAAATTTAAAATTCTTTTTAATGTGCATGTTTCAATGATATTTGTTGTTGTTTTTCCATCCCCCTTATCACTCACTTTAATCCCCAGCTTTTCAACTGAGAGTAGCTATAATTGGTGCTATAGTTTCAATGTAACATCACTTTAGCTTATTTTTATTCTGCCATAGAAAATTTATTACTGATTCAGATGTAATACTATTATCCATGTTTTTTTTTATTTTGTTTTAATTGCAGGAATGACTTCTTTATGTGACATGGAGTGTGTATGTATGAAAGCCCTGTATGTTTTATTTTGTTTTATTAGTTGAAAAATGTTCAAGGCAAATACTGCTCAGACAGAATTCTGAGTCACATGCAATTTAATTTCCATTTTAAAAAAAAAATCCACGTATAAACCATAATTTCAAATGCTTTCATTCATCCACCTTTCCTCCCTATTATCTATCTTCCTACTACCGTATATATGGGCATAAAATAAAATGCTTTTCTTTAAAAAATGATATTTCATGTGACACTATATTGATTATGTTTGTGTAGCATTTTTCCAATTCATTGTAGCATTTCAAAATACTACACAAATAGAATCGTAACATACATAGAGCAGCAATCTTCATTTTTTTAAAACTGTATACATGCAGATAATTATATATTGCTAGGATATAAAAGACAAAATCAAAATACTGTAATTTTCAATTTCTCTGATGCTCATTTCTGTAATTTGGTCAATTTTATTTGACTCATTTTCTATCTTTCATTTTTCTGGGTTCTTTTTATTTGTAAACTTTACACTTCCAAACAATTTTGAGGGTTTTTTTAAAAAAAAAATACACAAACATTTGTTAAATTTCTTTGAACGTCCACATTTGTTTGCAAATGTATAAAGTATATAGTTTTGCAAGCAATTTCCCCATATTGCATTTTTTCTATATTACTTTCCGAAGAGGCATTTTGAATGAAATATTTTCCAGTATATTTTCTATGATCAACCAGCCTCATGGCTCACAAAATACAATTTTCACAACTGGGATTTATTTTTGAATTTCATTTCCATCTCTAATCATGACTGGGGTTACATGTGTGCATATGTGTTTGTGTGTGTACACAACGTTTGATCAATGCATACATCTGCACATTTATATTTGTTGGCTTTGTACTGAATGGTCTTAGGGGCAAAACTCTTGGGATAATAATGAGTATTTATTAGATTACATATTTTAAAGATGGTAAGCCAGTCCTGTAGTGTTGATTCTGCTGTGGGGAATTCTATCCTGCTTGCATCAAGTACAGGTAAGTCCTTGCACTTATGACCATTGCAGTGTCACCACAGTCACAGGATCAAACTTTGGTCCCTTGGCAATCGGCATGTGTTTATGATGGGTCACTTGATCACTATTTGCAAGCTTTCTCAGCTAGCTTCCAACACAACGGGGAAAACCAGATTCATTCAACGAACAATGTTGCAAAATTAGGCACAACTCACTTAGCAACTGCATCACTTATCAATTGTCCCAATTGTGGTCATAAATCAAGGACTATCCGTATTCCAGGAGGAAAGATACAAAAATAGAACGCTGCTTTATCCACTTCTCTACTGTTTTAGCAATGCTTCCAGGTGAGCTAAAATTAAAGAGAAGGATTCAGATCAAAGCAAGCAAAGGTAGTTTGCTTGTCCGTACCTATATCATCCATGGAAAGGGCTCCAGGAAGTTCTTTAGCATTCATCTGCTTATAATCTAATGAGGACAACCTTTCATGCAGGGGTGTCAAACTCATCCACCGGCCAGATGTCTCATGCTGGCCATGCCCATGCCCGCTTTAGCAAAGGAGGAGGAAAAAGTTGTGATACGTCACATGATGATGCAGGTTTGACACCCCTGCGTTAATGGGTCTCTTGTCTCTGTGTTGGTCAAATTCCCCTAACCCTAAAAATTAACTAATTCTAACTAATCAAGGAGAGAAGCAACTTAGAACTAAGAAGACATTTCTTGACAGAACAATTAATCAGTGGAACCACTTGCCTCCAGAATGCTCCAACACTGGAAGTTTTTAAGAGGATGTTGGATAACCATTCGTCTGAAGTGGGGTAGGGTTTCCTGCCTATTCAGGGGGTTGGACTGGAAGACCTCCAAGGTCCCTTTCAACTCTGTTATTCTATTCTGTTAGCATAACAAATGGCCCTGAGTTGGTCCCTCCCAGATATGTTGAGAAAGTGGTTTATTGTGCAAGGATTATGTGGAATTTCACTCATCTTGTGCTATTTAGTTTTGCTTCCCCTTGACATTTCACCTGAGTTAAAACAAAACCCAAAAACAATCTGGATCCAGTTCAAATGTTAGAGCGATGATAACCAGCATTTGACTAGAAATAGGTAGAATGACATATCACCGAGTTGAGTACACCCCCTCACATTTTGTAAGCATTTAAGTATATCTTGCCAGCAGTTTAGACATTGATGACTGTGTGTTGTGTTATTTTGAGGGGACAGCACATTTACACTCTTATGCAAACTGTATGCTCACTACTTTACATTGTAGCTAAGTGTCATTTCTTCAGTGTTGTCACATGAAAAGATATACTTAAATATTTACAAAATGTGAGGGGGATGTACTCATCTCTGTATATACTGTAGGTAACCACCTACAAGAAGATTAGGTATTATTTAATATTGCAGGCTATGCAATGAGCCTTTTAAAATTTGGCTATAATTCAGAACATGATATACAGGAAAACCACCCCTAAATTGCAGTTTATTCTTTGCTATGGCATGAAGTTCAGGTTTGGGATGTCATTTAAATCTGTGGGGCATAAGGGGCCCATTCTTCCCCTTTTGTGGAATGATCTTCTCCAAAGACCCAAATTGAGGAATGATGGATGCAAACAGCAGTGTATAGAACTGAG